AGGGAGGGCCATGCCCTGCTCATCGACTGCAGGTACTTTAAACAGGGAGGGCCATGCCCTGCTCATCGACTGCAGGTACTTTAAACAGGGAGATGAATCCAACATGGCGATTACTTTTAGTCTCTTCTTGTTTCAAATGGTCTTTCATAGACAGAGGAACTACATATCTACATCAGGTACTTGTTTGTGTTTGTACATGGACGCGGGAAGAGGGGGTGCTGAGGGGGCTGCAGCACCCCCATCTGTTGGCGGAGAGTTGTAACTGCAACACCAAAAAGTTCACTAAACAAATCAATACAAAAGTTTTATTTTGAGTTACTATTTTTGAGTTAGCATTTTAGTGTAAGCAGTCTATAAAAAGCGTCACTATATAAGAGAAAGTGATCATGCGGTGTGCTTCTTCTGTTGCTCTGCTATAGAATAGAAGCTTGTCAGTGCAGACAAGATCAGGTATGGGAGTTTTGTGAAAGCAGTGTTTAAGAACTGGCGAAAGGCAGGGGAAACATTTAGGGAGCATGAGAAGTCCCATCAACACACAGGCCGTCAACAAACTGGCAGCATTAAAACAAACACCGATGAATGCACTGCTCTCACAAGCTGTTGCTAAAGAACCGCACCCCAAACCCTGACTGACTTCCCGCGTCCCTGTGTTTGTACTCAGATCCCTGGAGGCCACCCCTGTCCCTCTGGCAGACCCAGGCCTGATCATTCTCATCACCAACTCCAACGTGAAGCACTCTCTGAGCGGCAGTGAGTACCCCCTGAGGCGCCGGCGCTGTGAGGAGGCAGCCTCCGCCATGGGGAAGAGCAGTCTCAGAGACGCCACCATGAAGGACCTGGAGGGTGAGGAGTTTAGTTCTTATTCTCCTGAGCTAAACCTTGATATTCCACTTCCTTTTTATGTCCCCTGTCCTGGGTTAGCATCCTGCCTGATCCTATCCTCTTCCATTCCAGTGATGTCATTCTGTCTTGTCCCATCTTTCACTGCCCTGTCTCCTCTTGTTCCGTACAGTGTTTTAGTGCTAGACTGGCTCTGTGCAAAGTAAAAAAACACAACTCCCAACAAGTCATTGAAACTTTTTTTCTGACGGGGCCAGAAATTCAATTTTAGCCTCCAGGCTATTGAGCGTGTGGACTCTTTTTATTTTACTGATAGCTGAGTGGACAGTGTTGTGTGGATACAAATCTAAACCGACTTCTTCTTATAACTGCAGCCTGTAGTCCGAGGACAGGAAGTGAAATGTTAGCAGAGGTACATTTTCTTTCTAAAATGACATACTTTTGAAGCTGCTCAGTTTAGCTAAAGCTGAATATATAACTAGCTATATAGTGGCAGTAGCCAAGGCACTTGTCTTTAAGCACATTTGTTTTTTAGATTTTTGTCTAGCCAGACAATGTGCAAGAGAAGTATTTCAACTTGTAGACAAAAAGGAACCATTAGAACAAGATAGCATGTTCATGTGTTCATCACTTTATGGTTGCAGCTGGTTAGGTGAAGCGTATTTTAATAACTTCGTGAACTTATGGGTAGCTCAACTGATTTTGACACTTGAATGATTTGACTGATTATTAATAGCACCTAAAATATAAACATTCAGTCAGGACTATAGAAATAATTGCATGCTTTGCATTACATCTGAGAGTACATATGTTGAATGTACTTTGTTACATTTCACCACTAATAATCAGGGTTTAATGCAGGTAAATCTATGTGATGAATAACTATTGGGCTACAACTAATGGGCCGCAATCCTTATTGAAGTTCCAGCAACTAATGCATGTCTAGGAAACATACTGTGTGAACCATGGCCTTAGCAAAAAAACAGCGTTTCCTCAGCATACCTTAGCTGGTTTATTTGTTTTTGTGATGAAAAGCGCTCTGCAATTAAAGGAATACATTTACAGAGGAATCGGGACACAGGAGGAGGGGGGGCAGACTATCTGGGTTTTATGATGCAGTGGGCTGTCAGTTGGCCTTCAATTTGGAGGGAGGAACCTAGGGTGCTCCATTTCAAAAGAAGCCGTTTCCCTTTCCCAGATATGTACAGTACCGTTCAAAAGTTTGGACACACCTTCTCATTCAATGGTTTTTGTTTATTTTATTGTTGTTCTACTTTGTAGATTATAACTGAAGACATCACAACTATGAAAGAACACATGGAATTATCTAGTAAACAAAAAAGTGTTAAAAAAATCCAGAATATAATTTATATTTTAGATTCTTCAAAGTGGCTCCCTTTTGCCTTGATGACAGCTTTTCACACTCTTGGCTTCTCTCAGTCAGCTTCATGAGGTCGTCACCTGGATTGGTTTTCCATTTCCACGTGCGCCTTGTGAAGAGTCCATTTGTGGAATGACTTGCCTTCTTAATGTGTTTGAGACCATCAGTTGTGTTGTGCAGAGTTAGTGCACAGTGGAAAGCCCTATTTGACTACTGTTGTAATCCATATTATGGCAAGAACCACTCAACTGAGTAAAGAGAAGCGACCGTCCATCATCACTTTAACAAATGAAGGCCTGTCGATCCGGAACCATTTCATTTCATTTTCATCTTTATTTTGAACAGATTTAAAAAAACAAATACAAAATAATAAATGTGAAAAACAGAATACCATATTGTTAGAATACAGTATTTATCAATATTCATAATAGTATTTATATATTCAACAAAAAATATATGAATTCAAGAACTTTTAATGTATCCTCAAGTGCAGTCGCAAAAAACATCGAATGCTATGATGACACTGGCTCTCATGAGGACCCCCCGGGAAAAGAAGAGGCTCAGAGGATAAATACATCAGAGTTATCAGACTCAGAAACCACACATTAAAGCACCTCAGATTAGAGCCCACATAAATGTTCACAGAGCTGAAGTAGCAGACAATCTCAGCATCCACCGTTCAGAGGAGACTGCGTGAATCAGGCCTTCATGGTTCAATCGCTGCAAAGGTCCACGACTGAGGATGAACAACAAGAAGAAGAGAATTGTTTGGGCCAAGAAACGCAAGGAATGGACAGTATTCTGCAGTCGCCAGCTAAATAAAAATCTTATTCTGAATGTAACACTTTTTTGTTTACTAGATAATTTCATATGTGTTCCTTTATAGTTTTGATGTCTTCAGTATAAATCTACAATGTAGAAACAATTACAAATAAATACAAAACTTGAATGAGAGGGTGTGTCCAAACTTTTGACTGGTATATATATATATATATATATAACATTTTAATGCAAAGGTTAACAAAGGAAATTGATTTATATAGAAGCTTGACGTAACATGACATAGCATTTTTAACCTTCCCTTTAGCGTCCAAAACCATAAATAAATAAAGTGAAAATTCACTCCAAAGTAATCTGCCTCTGAGGCCCCAGAAGGCGAATCTTACACAGGGAAATTACACTAAAATAAAAAGGTACATTAACAATAAACAAAAACAGTAAAGAAAATAAATATTTAACTATGAAATAATATGAATCAATATATAGCCCCAACAGTCCCTATCCTTTCAGAGGCCGGCGACAGAATGGATGAGGTCACCGTCCGCAGAGCGCGTCATGTGATTGAGGAGATAGAGAGGACGGTCCAGGCTGCTGAGGCTCTGAGGAGAGGAGAATACAAAGAGTTCGGCAGGCTGATGGTGGAGAGCCACAACTCACTGAGGTACACCACAGCAGGTGTAAAGTCACTATTAGGACAGAATGTGGGAGGAGTGAGCTAACGTGCTGCTGCCCCCCCCCCCATCAGAGACCTATATGAGGTAAGCTGCAGGGAGCTGGATGAGCTGGTGTCTGTCGCCCTGGAGGTGGAGGGGGTGTACGGCAGCCGGATGACGGGTGGAGGGTTTGGAGGATGCACCGTGACCCTGCTGCAGGCCTGCACCATCGACAGGACTATACTGCACATACAGGTCCACACACACTTTGCCTCATACTGTGCACTGAAGAGATCGTACAGCTCTGAAAAACATCAAGAGACAACTTCAAATTGTTCTCAAATCTCAATCACTACATGTACAGCAGCCATTCCATTCCAGTGTCTGTTGAATTCCAATACAGAGAAATGTTGTCAGTAGTTAATAGAATAAAATAAATACAAAATAATTGGACTCAAACACATACGTCTGTAAATAGTCAAACCAGAGAAACTGATAATGCTACAGTGGTCTCTTCATTTCTTCTAGAGCTGTATGTGTAATGTTTGCCAGTTGTCAGGAATATTATCAATCAAATATTTGTTGTTTAAGGCTTTAACATTTTGGCTAATAGTTAGTTTGCTCTCATACTGGGAGTTAGTGGAAAAGAACAATATAAGCATTATACATGCATTCTCAGTTCTTAAGACTGTAAAAGTTCAGGACATATTGCTCATAAGGGAAACTGCTGTATCGGGCTACCACCAACACAGATACAAACACAACTTCAGTTGCTTCTCATTCCATGTTACCATGTCTTTACACCAAACTTGCATTTTTTTCCTACAATATGCACAAAGATTGTGTTGTTGTTTGCGTGGCCATTTTCAGAGAATGGAGTTTAACATAGGGTCCTGGGACAAAGATGTCCTCACAAGAAAAAAGCTTTTGGAAAGTTTCCTTACCCTCAAACTGTGTTAGGTGGACCTCACATCCTGGAAGATATTTTTTTTTATGTTGAAGTGAAATGCATCAATCTGGTGGCACTTTGAGAGCAAAATGAATTTATGGACACAGCTCTCAACACTCAGATGAAAGGGAGCTGTATACTTTTCAATAATCCAAACATCTTTAGAATATGATCACAACCAATAACAAATCATTTAAACTTGTTTATTCTTATCTTATG